ACGCATTTTAATTAGTGTCCTTTTTTTCGGCACCCTACTATGCGTATACCCTCCTTTAGCTTACCTAAGAAATGTAATATGAGATGCATTTACCCTATTTCGTTTAAGGTGATGAAGGACTGGTAGTATAATTTTCCCATAATGGTATGAATAGAACTGACATTTCCATTTAATTTCACAAAGCCTTGCTTTCCCAAAAGTTGTTCTCATCCAAGATGGACTGCAGTTTCGACCTCGAATAGGTCTAAACAACATCACTAGCGGGAGTGTAACCGTGACAGTGCAGAATGTGAGCTTGACACGTTAACCCCTTGTCCAGATTGCAACGAGTGCCCTTGGGCCACTGGGCAGATGTGAATTTCAAGGTTCGACTGCCGCTGATGGTGTTGATAAGACATATGCGAGGTCGAAAGTGCAGTCCACCCTGGATGAGAACAACTTTTGGGGAAGCAAGAATATGTGAAATTGAATGGAAACATCAGCTCTACTCATATCATTGTGGAAAAATTCTACTACCAGTCCTTCATCACCTCAAACGAAATAGGGTGGATGCATCTCATATTACTGATTTACTGGAAGTCTCGAAATTCTACTTACATACTAAGCATAAGATATGTAGATTTGTAATGAGTATGCTTCTCTGCCGTCACAAGTTACTCTTTGGCAAGCCCCTACGACCTATTCTTCTCGCCCCCATGTCAATTTCGTGCTAATACCTCATTCAAAGACAAAAGGTAGAGCTGCATTTCCTTTTCTAACTCTTGCCCGCGCTCGATATTATTCAGACTTTCCTCTAAAGCAACTTTGAGTATATCTAGGCCTTGAAGTTAGCAAAACACACAAACACAGATGGTCAGCCTCAATTCATGGGCAGTTTGCCAAACTTATATCCCTACCCTTATATAATCTTCATATTGAGGCCTGAATGAAATAAACATTCTAAACTGGCTAGTTAATATTTAAAGCGGAATAGTGTGTATATCACCTAGGCCCTACGGTCACAACCTTGCCAACTTACAGTAACTGTAACTTATTGCAACGAACACCGCGGCATCGTGTTGGATAATTTTCTTATTTTTGGTAGACCACAGAAGAGACTACGTTTCAATTAAGTAGCTGGCATATTGACTCATAACAGTTTGAAAGCTGACCTCAAGGTGATTGGTAAAAGTCACTTGATCATTCTTGCTGTGAGTGTACCTTATGTGTTAAGATGTATGTTTTCAAAGCATTGATCTAATATGTTCTGGGTTTTTCAACAATGACGTATAGGTAAATGAAAGACCCCCTTATTTGGTTGAAAC